GTGTCATAAGGAGGAGGGAGAAAACTTGTTCATCTTGGCCTCTGAGGATGAACAAGAAGCAATGGGCTTAAACTGCAGGAAGGGAGATTTAGGTTGGACATTAGGAAAAAGTTCCTCACTGTCAGGGTGGTCAAACATTGGAATAAATTGCCCAGGGAGGTTGTGGAATCTCCATCTCTGGAGATATTTAAGAGTAGGTTAGATAAATGTCTATCAGGGATGATCTAGACAGTATTTGGTCCTGCCATGAGGGTAGGGGACTGGACTCGATGACCTCTCGAGGTCCCTTCCAGTCCTAGAATCTATGATTGATTCTATGAAATAGTCTTGCAGTACCTTAGAGTAAAAAAAATGTAGATGGTATCATGAGCTTTCATGGACAAAGCCTATTTCTTCCGATTAAGTGGGTTTTGCCCACAAAAGCCCATGACACTATCCTACATGTTTTGTTAGTTTCTAAGGTGCTGCGGGACCATTTGTTGTTTTTTCAGTTTTTTCTTTTCTACTGTGTACAGGCAGTCCCCAAGTTACGCGGATCCGACTTATGTCGGATCCGTACTTACGAACGGAGCTTTTCTCGCCCCGGAGGATGCGGGCAGCGGGACCGCGGCGCATCTGGGCATTCCGCCACTCCCGTCCTCCGGGGCGAGAAAAACCCTGTTCATAACTGCAGATCCGACATAAGTCGGATCCGCGTAACTCGGGGACTGCCTGTATATACGAGCTGAGGATTGGATCTAAGAATTTATTCTTCACATAGAATGAATAAAATACTTTCAAAAGTCATTGGGCTCTTGGTTATATTCAGTACATACATTGTGCTACCTATTTCCTTATACCAAGACCATGCAGAGGATAGCAATTTTATTTTAGGAAGCAGCACATGTTAAAATGCTACCCAGCCGCTGGTCAGTTTCAGTAGCGGCTGAATCTGGACACTAGTTTCGACTTAAGTACAAATTCAACTTAAGTACAAACCTACAGTCCCTATCTTGTACGTAACCCAGGGACTGCCTGTATTACTAATTAACTAACCAGTGGAGTAGAGCTTGAACTTGGGGCTTCCTCATCTTAGGTAAATACCCTAATATGCGCATAGCTACTGAGTTTGCTTCAAACACACTTCCTTGCCCAGCCTAGAGGTGGGAGATTAAAATTCCATCCTGCATTGTGGAGTCAGGTTATTTGTTTATATACTATTTCTAATGCAATGGAATTCTAAATCCCTGTTTGGATCCTTAAAAGCTTTGACAGTAGTACTAACAAGTGATACAAATATCCAACAGGATTAAAAGGTTTTTGAAATGCCTTTGTTGGCTGAAATATTTATATTTTTTCTCCAGTTCATAAAAAATGGTTTGGATTAACTGTGATCATTTGCATACAGTGAACTTCAGCAAGTAAGTGTCAAATTTCTGTTCACAAAGACTTAGATGCTGCTAGCTTCAGGCATATCATTCATAAAGTCTGTTAATGGAGGCTTGACTCTGTTTTTTAAGCATCCTCTCTGAATATTCTTGAATCTTGTCTGCATTTCCATGTTTTAGTCTTAATTGTTACCATGATACACTGATAAAATGACAGAATAACCTTGGCCGTGCCATTTGTTTGTTTTTCTTGGTGCATGCCATGTTCATTGTTCAGAATCTTGTAGAAACTGCATTACCTCACAGCCCTCTGCCAGTGCAAAACCTCCACCAACAAGCATCGTTATCTCCCAGGGCATGCATGACTGAAATTCCTTCCAAGTAATCAGTGGAGTGTAATCAAAAACAGCTAGAGGTGAAAAAAAAGTTTAAAAAAAATCTCAGTAAAACTTCTTTCCAGAAATACAATATTTAAAGGCAAATTTTTATCAACAAATTAGGAAGGCTTTTCTTCTGACCATTTGAACTTTCTGAAGCAGACCTGTCCTAGTTATGAATTATCATTACGCCACTGATCTCAGTGGAGTCATGATACTTCGCACTGGCTGAAAAACTGCCCCCTTATGAAAGATAGCTCTTGGTGGGATTAATGCATCAAGATGGTTACTCTATTTAAACAGATTGCAGTGCAAGGTCTGGGCTTCACGGAGACACACAGAGTCTGATCGTATATTCCTTGTTGATATAAGAAATCCACTGATTTCATTAGGAGATCTGAGAACACACACAATTCAAGGTCTGGTCATATTCTAAGCAAACTCATTTCTAAAACAAAAGAATGGGACAAAAATAAAATCATTACTATTTGTTAATCAAGCAAACTCTAGTGTCTTATCCAAAGGTCACGGAAGTCAATAGAAGGTTTCCACTGAAGTCAATGGTCTTTGGATCATGTGCCTACTTACAGTGAACTTTTGTTGCCCTGACACTGAGTCTGTGTTATTATTCTGAAAGCATTACCATTTAAGGCAAGGAATTAATTTCCTGCTAAGGTACTACTCAAGGGTATGTCTACACTACCACCCTAGTTCGAACTAGGGTGGTAGTGTAGACATACCCTTGAGTAGTTGTAGCTAAATTAGTCCCCATCATATGGTATGTACGGTTGGGATTATTTTTTCCAGTGTGCATTACTTTTTATTTATCCACATTACATTTCATTTGCCATTTTGTAGCCCAATCACTTAGCTTAGTGAAACAAAAAACAGGACTATGTAGCACTTTAAAGACTAATAAGATGGTTTATTAGATGATTTTACATTTCTATCACTTAGCTTAGTGAGATCTTTTTGAAGCTCTTCACAGTCTGCTTCCGTCTTAACTATCTTCAGCAGTTTGGTACCATCTGTAAATTTTGCCACCTCACTGTTTACCCCTTTCTCTAAATCATTTATAAATAAATAGAATAGGATTGGTCCTAGAAAAGACTGTTGGGGGACCCCACTAGTTACCTCTCTCCACTCTGAAAGGTGGCAGAATTAGCCTCCTAGGGTATGTCTACACATCAAAGTTATTTTGGAATAATGGCTGTTATTCTGAAATAATTATGTGAGCGTCTACACAGCCATTTCTTTATTTCAAAATCATTTCAAAATAACGGACAGCTTATTCCGACTTCTGTAAACCTCATTCTACAAAGAATAACGCCTATTCTGAAATAGCTATTTCAGAATAAGGTGTGTGTAGATGCTCCACTGAGGCTATTTTGAAATAGACTGACACCACTGCCTCCCGGGGATCTAAATCTGCATCTATATTTGGGAAGCCTGCCTTGAAATAATTGAGGCTTCCCTGTAGTGTAGACATGCTATTTTGAAATAAGCTATTTCGGAATAACTATTTCGGAATAGCTTATTTTGAAATCGATGTGCAGTGTAGACATAGCCCTAGTGAGAAAAGTAACAAAACATAAACAAAAAACAACAACAACTCCCATCCTCCAAATCCCACACTTGTTACCTAGGAAAAATATACATATACAAATCTGATTCTCATTTATACTACAGACACTTTACATAATTCTACCAGTGTTAAAGCAAATGTAAATTTCAAGGCCCCTTTTCATTTATGCACTTTTAAAAACTTCTTTCCACTGCCAGAGCTATATAATGCTACCTTAGTATAAATGAGAAACAGGCTCACATATGCACATTTGAGTGAATCATTTTTACGAACACATGTAGCTGGTCTATGTACCATAGCAAAAATAGTATCCAAAGTAACATTCCATGTTACATGAAGTTAATCTGGATTTACACTAGTGAAACTGAACAAAATCGGACCCAAAGAATTTTAGTAATCGAATGTACTTCTCATCACTTATCCAGCTATTTTAAATTTATTCTATTTTGGTCTTCACTTGGTTTGAACACTGAAATGAAACTGAATATCACTTTCTCTTCCTTGGTCAATTTTAGTTCCTGAGAATCAGAATACAACTCAGTGCTCTTGGGTTCCAGTTTCTAGCACTGCAGGAGTGATGTTTAAATGGGAACAAAATCTATTTCAGTTGATTCTCATGACCATTTTTCTATTTCTATCAGGTTTTGCTAACAACCACCATCCACTTTTCTTTTCATTTTAACAAAATACACTGTCCTGATTAGGCTTAAATACCTGGTAGAGTTCCTAGCCCAAACACTGAATTATATTCACAAAGGGTCAACTACAATCCCTGCTCTAGCAAAGCTCCAATGAAAATATACCCAACTGTTTTCTCCATTTGAAGTCCTAGACAAAGATTTTGCTGGAATAATGAAGAAGAGGAGACCAATTATCAAGGCAGCTGTTGAATCTGTAGCAAAACCTGGGTATCTAAAGAGAGATTAAATGTGTATTAAGTAAATAAAGAATAAAGTATATATACTGCTCCAGACAAATTATAGAATAAGCATATTATAAATATGAAAGTTCTGGTCTGCCTGTGACTTTCCAATAATTTATCTAATTCTATAGAGTTTGTAAATCTGCAGTTATATGATAAATGTTCCCACTTCCTCACACACAAAGACCAGATTCTAGGGGGTAATATAGATGGTAGAATCTAGCAACAGAGCTAACGTAACTAGTCCCATGAAGACCATTCCTGTCCAACAGGAGTCCTCTCATGTTCGAGAGATGACATGGAGCCTTTTAGGACAACCTCTCCCTGCTGCCACTGTCAGAGGTATAACCACAGAGTCTGGAGTGCCCCTACGCTGTACTGATCTCTTGGTGCATTATCAGATCCTTGGAACTGTTTGCAAATGGTAAAAAGGAGAGTAACCCTTATTCTGTGCTTGTACTCCTGGGGATCAGCTCAGCACAGAGCAGGCCCAGGGTCAGAGGAATGAAAAGATGAGCTTTATGCCACCTTAATACACAAATGCTCACCCAATGTATGCTGTGTGCTTCTCAGTCATAGGCAAGGATCCAGTACATTGTGTCCAATTGTGCATTTCTTACACGGCCATAACTCCCATTGAGTAGAATGAGAATTTTGCTTGAGCAAGAAGGATCCAAGCCAATGTGTTTTTAATATTTTTTTCAAAGGGCCTCTGGGATCTCCTTATTTTGGGATTGCTACGGAATATTTTTCTTTCCCGCATCATGCCACATTTCCATGTATTTTGGTCCTATCCTGGTTTAATATGTTCTAGGCATAATTTGGCCCTTAGGTTTTATATCCTGCTAGCTATTTCCTGGAATAAACCATCACTGTTTGTTACACTTCATAACATATAATCCAACAGGGCAATTTAGAGTATCCTAGATTTATTAACAGTGCTAAGTGAAACTCAGACTTTTCAATATGAAGATTGCACTGAAACTACCTGTAACCCCCCTTTTCCTTCCCGGGTTACTGGGGAGCAGGTCACACTCATAGGTGTGCCTGGGTGCCTGATGTTTTAACCCAAAAGAGATCCTGAGTACCCCAGCGGTGATGGTGTTTAGTTGGGGAAAGCCCTATCCACCCCCTTGCTGCAGTCCCTTGCTTGTAATAAACATAAAATGGAGGTGCCTCCACCTGGCTGGCCTTGTACACACTCAGGGTATGTCTACACTACCACCCTAGTTCGAACTAGGGTGGTAGTGTAGACATACCCTCACTTGTGTGCCTTGAGAGCCTCCAGGAATATACTCATTCCAACATAAATCTGGATCTAATTCCAGAACAACTACAAATCATATACATCTAATAGAATACTTTAAAATAAACAATCTTTACTTATCTTAACAGGGATTAACAGATTTAGCAATAAATAGCATTAACAAAACACATAACAATAATTGAAGCTTATATAGCTAACATTTGTATAACAGTGACCCCACCCCAGAGTGTGCACACCCCTGGACTCACAGTCCCAGACACTTGCTGGTATCGGCACGCTGATGTTGTAGCTGTAGTGGAGATTCGGTCCAGGCTAGACAGCAGCTCTGTCCCAGGCAGCACTTTTTCAACAAGGCTCAGAAACTTACTGCCTCATGCTGTGCCTATCAGAAGCAGCCTGCTAAATCCCAGTTCCAACAGGCATCTAGTCCCAGTCTGTAGCTACACTCCAACAGCCCCTGCACTGGATCAATGTCCTTGGCAGCAGCCTGGCTCCCCCTTTGGTTCCAAACTCCAAGGCAGAGTCCCAAACTGCTAGGCCTCTCTTCTCCATGCACATGGAGAGAGAAGTCCTCTCCCACACAAGAGTCCTTTCTTCTTGTTTTTCCCAAGGGCTCATGGGAATTGTAGTCTGGATTGTAGCACACAGGGTCTTTTCAGAATAAAACAGAGGTCCCTTTAGTTAGGGGACTACTTACCCCATAGCTGTTCTAAAACTAATTTTGTTCCACAAGGTCTCATGAAAGAAACAATACCAGCTTCCTAAGGAATCGTCCATAAAAGGCTAGGAGTGTGCTTTCAAGATATTTTTATTCTGTTGTCTGCTCCCCTGAAGAAGATTGGTTCATTTTTTTCAGACTATCATTTTTAGAAATATGTAGGACACATTAATGCTCCTGCTACTGCAATACCTTTATGGCTACAAGTACAATACTCATGTAACAATATGTTCAACTTTCCCATTGGAATCACCAGTCCCTAATAGAGCCAAAGTCTCAACTCCCTGCTGAAACTGCAATGTACAAAACTAAGTCTAAAGGGGTCTATAAGGGTGCGTCTACACTGCACTGTTATTTTGAGATAACTAGTGTTATTTAGAAATAACAATGCGAGCATCTACACAGCCATTCCATTATTTCAAAATAATTTTGAAATGACGGACAGCTTATTCGAAATCTGTAAACCTCATTCTATGAGGAATAATGCCTATTCTGAAATAGCTATTTTGAAATAAGGTGTGTGTAGATGCTCCACTGCTGCTATTTCAAAAGAGCCCCTCACCAGGGCCATTCTAAGCTATTCCTCCCCAGAACCTTCTGGGGCTCTAAACTGAGATAGCATGTCTACATTAAGGAAGCTCTGTAGACGTGCTATTTCAAAACAAGCTATTTTGGAATAACTATTCTGGAATAGCTTATTTTGAAATAAGTGTGCAGTGTGGATGTACTCTAAGAATAAGAATATAACTGCTCACTTTTTATGGAAATTACTATATAATCAATTAACCATAAGTAAAAGCATACCCAATAGCAGAACATTTTGTTTCTTATGCTTTGATTATAAAGCTGTACAGGCTTTGTATTTCCATGTGTTGGGTCAGCCATCATGCAATACAAGATAATTTAGGCCAATGTAAAATGGCACATGTTTGCATTCCATTCCAAATGAAAACATTAGACATCCACAAGTAACACACCTTTGTAGTGCCTGTAAATTGTATAGTTACTGTAAGAACATTCCATTCAGTCTCTTAATACCAGATATTTTGATAAACAATAAACAGAGAACATAACAGAGCAGGTTGTGCATTGAAATAATCTCTGCTAACAAGACTCACCTTTAAATGTTGATAACAGTTGCTTTTTTTAAGTATCACAGGATACTTATTAAGTGGTGCCACATGAACAATAAATGCTATTTTAAAGCACAGAGGCATGTTCAAGTCAGTCTGATTGCTTGATTGGCCGATTGCGTGATTAGCCCAGCAGTTTTAAATCTTCTTTAAAAAGATGTTGCTTCATACAAGAACAAAATAAGAAGCTCTTCCATTGTTGCTGGGGAGAGTAGGTTCATGTATTTACTTATTTATTTATTTTGCATTTTTGATGTTGTTTGGAGAAACATGTTTCAAAAATAAAAACAATTATACAACTCCAGGATGCTTTACATTGATCAGTAGAAACTGATCTTTGGGTGTCACAAAACTATTCTATTTAGCACTTTACTTCCTCAAAGAGCTGTGACTGTTAACCAGTTATTCCTTGTGACACCCACTCTTCCCCCCACCCTGTGTATGTTTTGGGAAAGCAGTTGACTCTGTGTATGTGTGCACGTGCATGTGTATAGATAATTAGGAGAGAACATGTGATTGTGCTGCCCATCTGAGATAGAGATATAGATCTGGGACTCATTATAGATAGTACTTAAAGCTAGTAAAGTGAAGGAAGTTGCCCAAGGACTGGCTATAAAGAGGCAAATGGGGCCAAGGACAGCCTCCCTGGAGGCACGGCAACAGACAGCAGAAGAGCAGAAGAGGAGAAGGAACTATAAGAGGATATGCCTTACCTTAAGCCCAGCCTTAGTGGCATCCACACAGCAGGAGGCCGATGGAAGCAAATGCTCCCATTGGCTTCCCTTACTCCTTACTGAATTCAGAGTACCGGATGCCAGCCTGGACTGCCCTCAGCATTCGATTTACGGAACTATACTAGACCTGCTAAATCGAACATCAGAAGATCGACCTCCAGAGTATCAATCTTCTGGTAAGTATAGATGTGCCCTTAGGGTGGTAAGACTAGAACCCAGAAGAGATGAGAGACTCATAAGCTGGAGGAGGAGAAAAGCAGATGAAAAGGAATAAGTCAACGCTGGATATGCATGATATAAACATGACTGTTTTAGAGAAGTGCAAAAAAGCTGAGAATGGATGAAAGGATGGAGTTGCATGTGGAAACCCTGTATTCAAAGGATAAGAGTGAAGTAGAACAGGGAGTGAAGTAGAACAGAGTCTAAAGAGCATCAGAGCAATGGGAGAGAAAGGGTTCTGGGACATTTTACTGTAGGTCACCAGATGGATTCCTTCCAAGCCCAGAAATAATCAAAAGAGGCACTATTTGGTGGCTACATTATGGTCTGCATGAACTTACTGATATTTATTATTTTATGACACAAAATTATGCAAGTTGCTTCACAGGAAAACTCCAGAAGGACACATCCTTGCCACAAGACCTTAGAATCTAAATGGTAGATATAACAGGCAAAAAGAAAAACAAGGTGGTTAATTCCCTTCTAGTCACAGGGAAGAAAGGAAGGGGGAACAAAGCAGCTGGGGGGAATTCTTAATGGATTATAGATTGTTGTAATAAGCCATAGACATGGAGCCATCTCATCCATTGGATGGTTCAGGGCAGTTGCCAGAGGATCTAGAGGGGGACGTGGTGCCCACAGTTACTGGGGTCTGGCACCTACAGCAGGGACCAGGCCTGCCCCTACAATCATGAGCAGTAGCAGGAGCTGTGAGAAGCGAAACAACCCATTCCACCATCTCCCAGTTGGGTCGCTCAGCTTCACCACTGTGGTGAGAAGTGAAGCAGCCCACCCCAAATGTGCTCTGCTCCTCTGAGCATCACGGCTGGGAGCTGGGCCAGCAGTGGGCAGAGGCTGGGCCACTGCACTTCTTACAGCTGTGGTGAGTGCAGTAGGGGCACCTGCTGCCAGTCCCAAGGTCCTCCGCTAATCGCTGGGCCACATCACTCGGAGGGAGGACTTGGAGGAAGCTCTGCAATGAGGGTGGGGAGGAGATGGAGAAGTGGTGGGGCTTGGGGCAGTTTTCCCACCTCTCTAGAATCCTGCATAGACAACACCTTCCCTAATTGGAGGAGCATTAACAGTCCACTTCTCCTTGAATGGTCCCTTGAAGTATGTGTTAACCTTTTTTTCAGTTGTGCCATCCTGTGGTCTGGGCTCCATTACATACCTGTATTGGTATAACTACATCAATCAGAGGTGTGAAAATCCATACCCTGGGTAGTTATACTGACCTAACCCACCCCCAGCTCTATATGTAGACAGCACTATGTTGATAGGAAAGCTTCTACTAATGACACGGCTACCACCTCTTAGGGAGGTGGCTTATCTATGCCAATGCGAGAAAATCATCTGCATAGGAGCATCTTCACCAAAGTGTCACAGGGGTACAAAGTAATTTAAGTGTATACCTGCCCTGAGTTAGTTACCAAGTGTGAGGAAGAGCACCGTGTAAGCTTGAAAGTCTGTCTCTCTCACTGATAGAAGTTGGTCCAATGAAATATTAACTCACCCACCTTGACTCTCTAATATCAGTGCTAAAAGAACACTGCAAACAGGCAAAAAGGAAGGGAAAGATGAGAAAGGGGTTATGGACATGTGATTATGTGGCTATTCCATTTAGATAAAACCAGTAATGATGGTTCAAGCTGGTTGTTTTCTGTTGCAACTGAAACAAGGTGGTGCTTTCAATGGAATTGAATTGAGACAATGTGGTTGTCTAAATTACATCTGGCACCACTATTTGGAGATTCAGCAGAGAGACTAAGGACATAGAAATTGAAATACCTTTTCCACCTGGAGGCGTTTCCAATGTGGAGACACATTGCAGTGGATGGAAACAGTCTGGAGAACTTTGATGAATGTGTTTGGTTTGATCATCTCACAAACCACAAGTCCCTCTCTCCATTCAAATCCATCTAAAAACTCATTTTTCCGCATTGCTGACAAGCCGCAAGTTAATGTAAATACAGCACATTTTCAATATACTCAAAAGAGCCACCACAATATGACCATTTATAACTAATCTCAATTCCCTGATAACTACATAATCCCCACCCGCATCCATCCCTACTTGTCTGTTGTTCTCATTCATTGGGCATGTCTAAAATTAGACTTAAATGTCCACTATAACCTTGAATTTGTTCTATAAAAATAAAGCATTTTAACACTATTACATTTTAAAGTTCACTTTAAATCTAAGAGAAAATGAAAACTATTAAATACAGTTCAGTCATTGTCAGTATTTCAGCTGTTTTACTTACTGAGGAAAAAGAGAAGACCATCCAGGGATGAATCCAGGTTCTCTGGTAAACCATAAGAGGGCCATTAAAATGAACAGGACAAGGGTAATGATTTCTGGGTAGCTGCAGCAAAAGCACAGTTTGTTAGTGTCTGGTTTTCTTACATTTAAAGGTGCGTTTGCTTTCTTTGAAATCGCCTAGTGCTTTGCAGTCTGTGTTACCTGATTGGTCCAAGCTTTGTGTACTCCTCCTTAATCACTTGTGCTGAGACCTGTTCTCTGGTGGACTTTTCCTTGCCACATTGGAACATTTCTTTGAAACTGGAAGATAAGTCAATAATAATGGAGTGTTACCTGTACAATATAGTCACAGATGCCAACCTTTCTGAGTAATTGTACCAATTTACTAGGCTAAGATTTCAGTTCTACCAGCCAGTGCTCACAATCTCCCATTTAATTGTGCATACTCTGAACTTTATAATACTGATTTGGAGTAACCCGAGCATGCTGGAATCTACCCACATGAATGGGAGACTGGCAGAGGCAGCAGCAAAATATGACCCAATATTCAGGCTCACACATCATTAAAATAGCAGAGGCAACTTACATCACTGGTTTCTCTAGGGATGCAGCATGATCTAATGCAGTGTTCTTCATTGCAAGGCCTGGGAGCTGGTGGCAGCTCCCATAGACCCTAAGTCCAGCTCCAGTTCTCTTTTAGCTGTACAAATTGGTTGTAGGCTATAAATAGCTGGGCAGCAGCTCTAAAGGACCACACGGCATGAACCTGGAGATGGGAAGGGGGAAGCAGGAACTGAGAAGGGGAGCAAGTTGGGGCTTGCAAGGCTGCTGTGTGCCTTTCCCCAGGCTCTGGAGCTCCCTGATTCCAGAGTAGAAAGAGAGAAGCCCCTTCCCCTGGAGCTCCATGCTGGCTGCCAGCAGGGGTAGAGAAAGCCTCTCCCCCTATAGCCTTACTAGGATTGTGGCAACAGAAGAAGAAGAAGGAACAGTCACACTTTCACTCATCCCATTTTTTAAAATAAGCTTTGCATTATTCTGCTCTTTAAAAATGTACTTGCATAAATGCCTTTTTAATTCCATATATTTTCCCTAGTTAATATTTTATAAAAGGAGTATTATTTTATTGTCCAAGTAGACTTTGTTTTAGTTCCACAAGTGGCTCTATAACATTACATCATTAAGGAGTAGAAAGCAATGTGTTAATTTAGTATTTGATGTGGGTCTCACATTGAAGGGATTTTTCCCCCAAAATTGTTTGTTTTGAAGAGTGTCAAAATAGTAAAGCGCACTGGTCTAGTTACTAAGGCATAGGACTGGAAAATGAAGAACTCTGAGATCGATTTCTTTGATGTCCTGTACCTGTAAATGTTTGAGCCCTCTGCCCTCTGCAGTACAAAGCCTTTTTTGTGTGTTAGCTTCAATTTTGCAAGCACTCCAGACAACTGTTTTTCTATCCACTCTCTCTGTGTCTGTGGCGCTCTCCTTCTTGCTGGGTCCAAAAATCTAACACTGACAATGCAGGATTTATGCACCAAGAACATCCAGTGCTCTTGTACCTGAACAACAAGGGCTTGTCTACACTACAGAGAAGAACAAAGGTGCTGCAGTCAATCTTCCAGAGTTCAGATTAGTGGGACTAGTGAAGACATGCTGATTTGAACTGAGAGGGTGCCCCCCTCAATGCTGATAGTCCTGCTCCTAGGAGGAGTAAGGGAAGTTGATAGGAGAATGTGCCCTTGTGTCGACCTCCAGCTGTGTGGACAGCATCAAAATGCGATTGAAAATACTTCAACCCCAGTTACGTAATTAACATAGCTGGAGTTGCATACTTTAAGTTGACTTTCTTCTTTAGCATAGACCAGGCCCAAGAGAAAAGAGTAAGCAGATAGTACTGTAAAAGGGGGACAGAGTTCACTAGAGTCACAAGGTGACAACAGGAGAGGAGTAAAATGGCATCTTTTATGGGAAATGTTGGTGACTATGAATGGTGTCTGTGCACCTCAGCCATTTTGAACAATTTGTAACCTGCAACATCATTCCTGATGAACAAAGAATTTCAACCTTGCTCACGGTGATGGGTCTGAAGGCATATGGACTGCTGTGTCTCCAACCGTACCCAGATCTGCCTCAAATAATGTAAATATTCCAGCAATGCAGGAATATTTTTCTCCTATTCTATCGACAATAGCTGAATGATAGTGGTTCCATCAGTGACATCAGGGAAGTGGAGAATCAGTAGCACAATTTGTTGCCGATCTCAAGAAATTGCCAGAGCAGTGTTAGTTTGGAAAAATGTTAAGTGATGACCTGCATGACCAGCATGACCAGTTAGTCTCTGGTCATACAGAATGACCACATTGGAATGAAGTTATTGACTGCAACAGAGATTCCATTCAGAATGACTGTTGCTGTAGCAGTTGCAATGGAAGCCACAGAGTAGGATTCTCTGCAATTTAGTGTGCACTGAAAAATTCATCTCATTAATCTGCAAGACAGAGGACTACAGAAACATAAAGAATTTCCATGTGGCAGTTTGCACTAACTTGTGGGATACACCAGGTCATTTTCAGAAGAAAGCACACATCACCATGACCTGTTGCATAGTTCAACAATCAGTAACAGAGTAACCATATACAAAAGACACCTGTAAGAAAGGATGGAAGTTGAGAATTCATAATGTGGAAAAAGACAAGAGCTCTAGTGACACTGAGCAAGACTGTATGTGTTATCAGAAGACTAAGTCACAGATTATATCTGGCTCACACCCTTGATTAAAGAGGTTCCTAAAAGACTTGAGCTTGAGGCCGGGGAGATGCCATCTCATTGATTTCTGAAATCTCCTACAACCAGACTTTGTCACAAGTTCTGCAAGAAGGAGTCTCTATAGTTTTGAAATGTTAGTCCTATAAGGGATACTCTGGGTAAAAGTTCAACTAGATAGACTATCTGTTGTTTTACCTTATATGTGATGGAACATAATTATCCACCTTATTGAGCAAGTCTTGAGTTGAGAAGCTCAAGGCAAACCAAAGCCATAGACATTACAAAACACCTCAAAATCTTCAAGAAATAATGGACAGACACTTCAAAGATTTGGAAACAGCTTGGACAGAGCAATGTGTCAGTGAGGCTCACTGTTAAAGTCTAGCAGCCAGCCATAATATTGGAACCCCAGTTATATTTATGCTCTTAAGCCTCTGGCAGAAGCTGATTGGTACTGTTCAGTGAACACTGACATCTTTTAGTATGGTTCACACTGTGATCGGGCTATATCTTTTGTACCAGTGTTCAAGAAGGAAGGCTCAGTCCAAATTTGTGAAGATCTCAAAGTAATGCTGATTCCAGTTTTATAGACAGACCAGTATCCTCGTACTGAAAAGTTGTTTGCTGTACTTAGTGGTGGACAATGTTTCAGTAAATTGGATTTGCTCAGTGTATACCAATCAAATGACGATTGATCCATACCTTTTGGTATTACATTGGCACCTGCTCCTCACCATTCTTTTGAAGTTGGAGACTATATGTAGATTTGCAACAACAGTTGTGGAGTGAAATAGGTACCTGGAGAACTCACAAAATGCACAGGACCTGTTTTGTTCATGGTAGAACTATCCAATGTTATTTTATGGAAATAGCAGGGACCAGTTTGAGTGCTGATGAGTACCAGAATCCAGAGATGATCCTTTAATTGGACCTATTTCTCTTGCAACTCTTACTTGCAATGACTTGTTGGGAAAACATTTGGTCACTGATCCAGTTGATTCCATACTAGATGCAGTTGATTCCTTACCACCAAGTGTTCCTGTTGTTCACAACACTTCTGCACCACCATCACCACATTGTCCCAAGAGAGAGCAAAAACCAGTTGTGCCCTTGAACTTACAAACAGATTCGTTACGGAGTTCCTATTCCAGGGCAGAATAATCTCTTGCATTTCAAGTGTCTGCTGTAGTCCACTCACTTTTTAACTTAGTTCAGTTATGTAGTGTTTATTTTTAGCCATGTAAAGGATAATGTATGTGTGTTTTGAAAGTTTTTACAATAGATGGACAAAATGCGAGGACCTGTCCCTTTAAAAGTTTAAGCACTCTCCCTTCCCTAGTGCAAAGCCTCACTTTTATGTTAGTTTCAGTTTTGCAGCTTGAACATTAAAGCCCCCACATCTGAAATCTGTGGTTCAGTCAGTTCACTGTTTGTCTGTGTCTGTCTCCTTCTCTGCTAAGTCCAAATCTAATCATACCCAGTTCTGTCAGTAGGCTAAGGTGTGATCATAGGCAAGACACTTTATTTCTCTCTCTCTTTGTCCCACTCCACTCTTTGTTATTCTATTTAGATTATAAATTACTTGAGGCAGGCACGGTATCTTGCTATGTTCCTATGTAGAACCCAGCACAAATAGGGTACTGCTATCTAAGAAATTATATTAATAACAACAAGCCCATGAAACTGAAGTATGGGTGTGTCTACCAATACATATGCATAGCTCCAAGTCACCTCATGTCAGGACACAAGAAAGACATGTTTTAGACAATCATTATTAAGACAGAACAGTATTATTCATCATAGTATTTATGTCAAAAAGAAAAAAGATCTTAAAAACCACATTAGTTTATTTGCCCACGAAGGGGGCTTTTTCACAAAGGAACAAACGAGGCACAACATATCCATCTAATTAAGGGAAGTCATCCGTGGCTTTGCCAAATCAGAGTCTCTCCTCTTAATTCACTGCTTTCTTTTCTAATGGGAAAGTTTTTAGTTTGCAGCTAGCCAGCACATTGATCAGAGTGTTCTGTAACACCTCTCACAGCGGGCAAGATTAGCAAGTTTGGTTCTCAGTTCACACACTTGAGGTGAGCCACTCCACAGAGCTAATGAACACTGTCAAAAGGGCCTTGAAAAATGAAATGTTAAAATTTCAAATTGTCAGTGGAGTGAGAAGAAAACTTAAGATGCGTCTATTTAAGATTAAGTACAGAGAATCTAATTTTCCACTGTCTGCACCATAGGCAGCCATTTACATCTATGGAAAGCAAAGGCTGCGTGGGAATAATTTTACACTAAATTAGCTTGAATTCATTTTTCACTCTTTTGAACACCTATTTCATACAGCTGTAAATAAGTATTCAGGGTGCAACACAGTGGAGAGTTCGGCTCTAAGACTATCGTTATTCAAAACTTGAAGCACAGTGGTGGGGTGAAGTAAACCCACCACCCAAGAATACAAAGGAATTACTGTGAATAGGAATCATTGTATTTTTTCTTTAAATATAATATAAAAAATTGCTCATCGAGTTTATTAGATAAATATTGTTCAAAAATAGGATCCAATAGTGAAGTCAGCGACAAAACGACCGTTAATTTAAATAACAAGATTTGGGTCACAAACTGTAAAATCTGCATTTATAATGGAGATTGCCTATCTCCTAGAACTGGAAGGGACCTTGCAATGTCATTGAGTCCAGTCCCCTGCCTTTGCAGCAGGACCAAGTACCATCCCTGATGAATTTTTGCCCCAAAATGGCCTCTGCAAGGATTAAACTCACAACCCTGGGTTTAGCAGGCCAATGCTCAAACCACTAAGCTATCCCTCCCCCCTTCTGTCATATACTTTCTAATAATGATGTGTGTATATTCTATAGAATTGTGCAATATATTTTACAAAATGGATCCTTGAATAAGTTTTCCTGGGGGAAAGAGGGGTGGGGTCCTGTTAGATAATCTAGAGACTAGTAGTGTGACTAATAATGTGAATTCCCATAATGACTAGTAGTGTGAATTCCCTGCATTTCCAGAGAACTCATTTGTACTCTTTGGCAATTAAAAGACAATAATTTTTCACCGTTCTATATTAGAAATAAATGCGCATGAGATATAGATATGATGTACTATATGATCTGTTATAGGATATCTCATGCATTATTAACCTGTAATTTAATTAATTGCTTTTAACATTTACTCACTTGAAACCAAGGAAAAGCCATTGGAGCCAGACCCAGGAGAGCAGCATAATGATAATAGTGATGGGGATGCAAAGTATAAACCAGGATCCAAAATTGATGCACTGGCAATCTGGGTAGCGTCTGAATGAAAATAAAATAGACTTAGGTTAGGTATTGCACAAGGAACCAAGCCATAGAAGAAGTATCACTAGTGTCTGCCACATCAGAAATACTCAGGGAAGGCTGCTGCTTTCAGCTGTTTCCAGTAGAGCAGGAGACTTCAGCCAGAGGCTGTCAATGGCCTGCTCTGACCTCACTATCCCATCTCATCTCATGATGATGATAGCCATTAAAGTAATGCGCTGCTTGTACCTCTGCATCCAACCCTCATGTCATGCACACTAAATATGAGAGCAGCCACTGAAGACCCCGTTGCTCCCTGGGTTAAAAGGAGTAAGAATCTAATCTGGGATAAAGGAGAAGGAGGTTCCTCATGGCTGTGGGTGATGATGGTGGTGGAGGAGGAAGAGCCATTAGGACTCTGGGGAAGTGGAGGAGGAGAAGAGCCTTCCTCTGAGAAAGGGTAGTGATGGGGGACTTTAGGCCTCTACGATGAACAATTAAGATGGGAAGGCAAGGATTGCAGAGAAAATGGCCAATGCACATTTAGTATCAACTAGGGGGCTGTGCCCCCTGCTTGCTATGCTTACCAAGCCCCCTCTCTTTGGGGGTAGGCAGCTCTGGCTCTCCCCCTGGTCACTCAGGAGGGCCAGGGCTGGGGTCACACTAGCCCCGGTCTCTCGCTCCTCCCTCCAACTGCTGGGAAGGGCCAGGGCCGGGGGAGGGCCAGTCCCAATCTCTTTCTCCCTTCACCCTAACCACTGGGGAGAGCCAGGCCAATGCTGGGGCAGTTATAGCTCTCCCTCTGTCCACTGGGTTGGGGAGGGCCTGGGCTGAGGGGAAGCCAACCCCCCCTTTTCCTTCTGGTCAGCTATGGGTTTCTCCCTGGCAACTGGGGAGGGGAGGACTGGGCTGGGGCATCCCAGCTCTCCACATGGCCCCTGGGAAGGACCAGGCTGGCAGTAGGTGGGGCTTAGTTCCAGTGGACACAGAGTGACGTGATGATGTCACTCTGTCATCATGCAGGAATTTTTTTTATATATATATAGAGAGAGAGATGATAATGCCTCATAAAACATCCAAAAACATTTGCTGGGTTGGAGCCTCTGGGGAAAATAGGTGACGCTCATGATCTGATTGGGGCCCTATTTTATCTGAGTTCTCCATGCAGATTTTCAGGTAAAAGGGACACCCAGCCTGTAGACATATAAGGAAAGTAAAATTATGGTGGGATTTTCTGGAAGACAAGGAGATGGAGAGAAACTTGGGAAAGGGGTAAAACAGCAAATGTTTTTTTAAATCTTTTCCCTTGTGAACAACATTTTTTGCCCCCTCAAGTTCTATCTACAGAACCTTTGACTCCATATAGAGCAGACTGTGCACTACAGGGGCAGTTTCTTGTTACGAGGGTGAGAGGGAAAGGACATTAGAAAATTCAGTCAGAGGCTATAACAATTCTTTACACTTGAATCTGCTGTATTCCAATCATTTTAAAGGAAAGCCTCTGGTAATGTTAAAATTGGTCTTTGGGGCAGGAAACATTATCTATAGTGCTGTGCAAATTTAGAGGACCATGTCTTTTTAATTATAATTTTAATTTCATTTCATTATAATAGTAATAATAAAAAATAGATCCTGTCATTATAATGCCATCTGGGAGTAATCCAAAATGTCTGACTGCTTCTTGAGATTAAAGTTCCAATCTTAAACTGTAACTAGTGCTGGGAGAGCGATGTCTGAACTCATTGCTGTCATGGAACATGAATTAAAATCAGACAAGGAAAGATAGTACATTATTATACATACTCTTTTGACTAAGTGGCTGTTTATTTCTTATTAAATGATTGAATACACTCTCTAAAACATACCCAATTCTTGGACAGTATGTAACTGACTTTACTATTACAATGACTCTGTTTCACAATTTCTCCAATGTTTTGATGTAGCACTTATCACCCTGGTACCTGATTTATGCTCACATTAGTTAGCAATTTTTGCCAGGAAGAACAAGTTCTTAATCTTATATTACAGGACAAGTTCTGCTCTTGGTTATTAATTTACTGGGGTCAAATTGTAGTGTGACTTTGGGGATATTTGAGCGAATACTTATGTAGTTCTAGTAACCTGAAAATTAAGTTACCTAATCATTAGTCCTCTGTCAAGTATTGCTCAGAAAGACTGTTTGATGAATTAGAATTTTAAGATTATGCTAATTAATGTAATATGTTGACCTTAACAATGACATAGGTTGGATTGTCCCATTGATGCAATCTTGCCTTTGCACAAAGATGGACTAGATAATCTTTTATAATAGCTTTTTTCCATCTCTAACTTCTGTGATACGCTGTAATAGGGATCCTATATTAAAATGACCTATGCCCTCAGGTTAGAAAACAAAATTCCCTTCCTTCCAAGGGAGGCTATTACTTAGTAATGTGCTTTTGTTATTTTTTGAATATTTTTAAGAATTTATATGATTAATTCTGAATAAGGCTTAACTCTGCCCTGTGGAGTTTATATATGGGTCAAAGTCAATTTCCTCAATAGGTTTCTGATAATCTAGAGCAATTTTAGTTGGCTCCACTGAAGGAAAATAGAGGTGTCCCTCTTCAGGATCATTCCTGTCCAGTTATAGGGGCAAGAATCAACCTTCCCTATAGCACCATTTCCAGCTGCCCCTTATATAGGATGTGACATTTGCAGTTGGGTAAGAAGTAACATCATCCCTAGCTGCATCACCCTTTCTGTGGTTTACTTCAGCATTTGGAAACCTGCCTTAAAAGTGAGTCTTGGGACAGTCACCAGCTGAGGATTCCTTGCATTTGGGAGCCAAGGGATCTGAGGGGCTCCAATGCCTGCACATTCATCCTGTGGATCTGGCAGGTAGTGAAAAGTTCTCTTTACTTGCAAATTCAGTGCATTTGATATTGTCATCAGTAAGACACATTGAATATAGAACTCTCAATACAATTTTAACTGTACTGTAATGAAGTAGCCAACTCTAGAACCCTGAATACGGATGTAAGACTCCTTGTAAGACAGAATCACCCTGTTCTTGACTTTTCTACACCAGTATAATGCAAAGATCTGCAGGTCATACTTGTGGGGTAATTCAATTAGATCTCAACAGGATATAAATGCATTTGGAGCCTCTCTTGGCGCAGAGGGAACTAGGCATTTGGACACAAGAGTTTGCACTGAAAACCCTGGGAATGGCCAAGCTTATGCTGAGGAAAAAGTATTAAATGTATGTTCAGTAAATGCTCTGAAGGATGTAATACTGGATTATGTACAGTGTGGTCCTAGGATGGAAGGGGAACAATGCTATTTACAGCCTTGAAAAAACTAAAAGTCTAAGGAGGAGCTGGTAGAGAGACTTTGAGCTGTTTTCCTTCTAGTTTCCCAAGGAGATGAAAGAGGATAATGCCTGTCCCTAGCTCCCAGAGCCTTGGGGACCTGTTAGGTTTCTGGATGAAATTGTTGCCTCACTGAATCAAGTAAATGATTATCCATTATATGCATTTAGCAGTTCCTACAGATTTCTTGAACTGCTAAGTGTCCCAGACTAAAGATTTACAAAGGTCTTTCCTGCATGCCCCAGTAACATTCAGCATAGCTCTGTGAATGAAGGGCTAGATTGTAATGTCAAAATCTACCCTGGGAATGGGAGAGCATGTAGGTTTTTTTGCCCTATGAGCAGACTGCCCCACAATTACCATTTTAATTTGATCCCTGCTTTCCCCATTGCTTTATAGGAGAAGTAATCTGCAGCAGGCCTTATCCTAGTGCAATTTGCTATCCCCTTGGTACCAGTGCAGCTATGGTGGCCACTGTATTGTGGGGGAAGGGAATCTACCCTGGGAATGGGAGAGCATGTAGGTTTTTTTGCCCTATGAGCAGACTGCCCCACAATTACCATTTTAATTTGATCCCTGCTTTCCCCATTGCTTTATAGGAGAAGTAATCTGCAGCAGGCCTTATCCTAGTGCAATTTGCTATCCCCTTGGTACCAGTGCAGCTATGGTGGCCACTGTATTGTGGGGGAAGGGCCAAAAC